TATGCCGCTTATGCCCGTGTCAGGATGAGTCATATACTTTCAACATAATATATGAAATAAAAAACACACTACCAAAATTAGCAGTAAACGATATTGATAATAGCAGTATTGATAATATTCATTTTTATTCGATCCATCCATCCATCCATCCATCCATCCTTCTATCTATCTATCTATCTATCTATCTATCTATCTATCTATCTATCTATCTATCTATCTATCTATCTATCTATCTATCCATCCATCTATCCATCCATCCATCCATCCATCCATCCATCCATCCATCCATCCATCCATCCATCCATCCATTCATCCATCCATCCATCCATCCATCCATCCATCCATCCATCCATCCATCCATCCATCCATCCATCCATCCATCCATCCATCCATCCATCCATCCATCCATCCATCCATCCATCCATCCATCCATCTATCTATCTATCTATCTATCTATCTATCTATCTATCTATCTATCTATCTATCTATCTATCTATCTATCTATCTATCTATCTATCTATCTATCCTGCTCGTTTGGCTGTCTGCATTTGAACTCTTTGATAGAGATTTCCCTTTAGTGAGCACTTGGTCATTTATGTATAACTGTTGCAAAGCTAAAATATTCGCATTCATTTAACATTTACTGAGTCGTTGTAAACTATAGAGCCTTTTTTCTTCGTAAGACAATGACATATTAAGTGATATTTTCCGAGAGTATGGTTGGTGTTCCTACCACCTACGTCAACATAGTCTTGAACTGATAACCTTGTGCCAGTGTAGATTATATTGTACATTCATATATCGAGTTTTATTGCGACTCCACCTGTTTGAGGTTAAGTGTAAAGTAATCTCTATTAGATATTTTTCTGGCTGATAACGAAGCACGCTTTTTTTTTTCGATTGAGAAAAGTCCTCTTAGAAGCCGAATCATTCCAGTTCTGTAAATTCATATATGAAATCTTGATAATGCTAAGAAATATTATACTGTTAGCCAGTACATGTGGTGAAGAGTGTAGGTTTAATATTTTGCAGCCCGTCTAATCGTTACACATGAGCAATCAATCTCCAACGTTTACAAGTGATAACAACGAGTATTCGGTGCTTTGTTCATATGCCCATTACCTCAATAAAACTCTTACAGAAGGAACACTTGTTTATCCTCATGTATTTGCCTTTATCTTTCATCTTTCATTGCAGACCAAAACACAAGCTTATTCAAGATCTTAGAAAAGACGTTACTTTTATCATACTTGGATTAAACTGGTTTTTCACTGTCAAGTTTAAATTCGTTTGCTTACAAATACATATATTTTTTAAATCAAAGAAGGTTCTAATTTGCATTTGGGGTAGTGAGGAATACTATAAATTCTATAACATGTCAAACTTATTCTACACAATTATTGATAAAATTAATTATTCATCAACATATCACGACGTCTTTTATTGACGAAGATCAAAGCGTCTCAATTTCAAAGAAGTAAAATTACATTTAATGTAGGCTACCATTCTTTTAACGTAAAGATCCACCTGTTTACCATGGTTTGTTTATTTTTTAAATTATTCGTAAAGAATGTGCAAGTACAAAACAGAAATGATTCTACACACGCTAGATGTGAAAAGCAATTTCCTCTCAGCCACGAATGTTTTCTTAAAATGGCCTTAACTTTATTTACTTTATAAATATATTGTCTCCAAAATGATCGTATTACCATAACCGTGAATATTCTTACTGTGTAGATGCTTGTTCTCCATATACGCTATACTAGCTTATACCTTTACAGAGATCATCAACATTGTTGATAATGAAACTTGTTCACATAGTGTTCATTAATACATTGCACTCCCCCCATGGTTCATAATATTTAAAGAGTATGCTTACAAATTTGCAAAATACGCAAAAATGATATATTCTGCTATTCGCATAATGGGTATATTACGCGTGTAGGTCGATACGTATAAAAGATAAGACGCAAGAAGTTCGTGAAACACAAAATATTTATCATACTCGAAAAGATTACGTTTGTGTAGTTTACACGTGCTGATAAACTGGATTCTTTCTGAACTTAATACCTTTAAAGTTTTAATTCCTACTGTTCTAACGTATAATGAAGATGTTTTGTTTGCCTAAAGACCGTTTGTATAAGGTGTTCGAATTTGTCAGGCAAATAATTTTATGTGTGCATAACCTACAAAATGTGCCACCAGTGTGAGTAACCCTTTAAAATGTTTTTTTTAGGCACATTAAAAGACTGGCCTTTAAAGTTAGTATATCTGAAATTTTGTTTATTTCAAGACTTGCCTATCTACTGTTTTAATTAATATCCGATTTTATTGAAAAGGCAAACTATACTTTCAAATGATAGTTTGAAAAAAGACAGATAATATAAAAAGTATTGTTTGATTTTGGCGTTTCAGTATACAAACAGACGGCGATATACCGTAATATACTGTTTTATAGAATATCAACTTTGTGGCGCATTGGTTTTTATATCCCTCCCAAGCTTTGTTTGGGGTGGGTGTTCACCGTTTGGTTATAGTTGTTTAGGGCTGATCGCTGACGGTGTAATTTACCCGGCACGAGTAAATATCAATATAGATTGAACTGTGTCGAGTGAAATAGATACAGAACCGAGCAGGTTCAGATAAATCGAGCCCCCATTACAAATAAAGAAAATATTTAATCAAAAATATTTTGCAATAAAGTTCAGAACCTAATAATAATAATAATAATAATAATAATAATAATAATAATAATAATAATAATAATAATAATAATAATAATAATACTATACGTTAGAAAGATACACTTCTTTTTTAGACATAGCTGCTTCCACGATTTTACAAATACAGGAAATAATGAGACCAATAGCCGATCTATTACGGTATAGAATTTCAGTCATCATTTAGATCAAATGGAATAAATCGAAAAGCCATTGTTTGATACATTTTTATAACCTGATAGTCTGTTTTCAGTCCGAATTCCACCGTGAAGGTTTCTTTAGGACTCCTCTGCGCTGGTAAGTCCAAGTCTCCTTCACTTTGACATTCTTTCCAAATTTGCAGGTGCTATCTTTCCCCTTAGTGTCCACAAGACTTAATATGTTGAGCATAGACTCCAGAGCTATCCAGCTCCCTGTTTTTCCAAGCTCTTACTTTCAGAATATGTTGACTACTTTACCATACATTTCCTTTCCTTGGAGGAATTTCCTACGAGTTAATTTCTCATAAATTAGCTTGGAGCCTCAATTTTTAAATGTTTTCTCTTGCAGCACAAAGCTTAGACTAATTTAGAAATTCCCTACTTGCACATTAAAACTGAAGAGATTTTCGTGTGACCCCCCTCCCCGGTCACAGCGTGACCAATCATAATTACAAAAACTCCAGCTTTTCAAAGCACTAAAACTCTGCATTATGTCTATCAACAAATGTCTACCAACTGGTTCCTGGACGATGTATCATCTGTCAGTTTGCATACAAAACAATGACTTGAACTCCGTCCGGTAAGTTTAAACAAACTCAGCCTTAATTATAAATGAAAAACTCCTGGCTATGGCGAACCAGTCCGTACATTATGGTTCTCTAAATGAGGTCATTCCCATATAAATCTCATAAACGATACATTTAAATAAATGTGTTCTACCACAATTAACAACACAAACAAAGAGGGACCCAAAAGAAATTGGTCCTTTACAAACTTCTGTATTTCTTTCTCAGCACTGAAAATGGAATTTGTTTTCTTATCTAGTTATAAACGAGTAATGTCTAGACGTAATGTAAAATCATTTTTGTTCATAGCTATTTGTTCCGTATTGTAATAATTAAGCAAAGAGGGAGCACAGCTTACACTAAGGCAATAGTATTATTCCTTATTATATTATCTTTTATAACGCCACGGCAAGCATACACCTAATTATATTTCTGAGGATGTGGAAAATAATGTATGTGTTTAAAAGAGTGTTGATTGTAATGGAGAAACAGCAGAACTACGTCATTTGGACGGCAGTTTGCATCCTGTCGTGGGAGTCAATGCTCCAGTGAGACAGAGATAAAAAATGAAATATAAACCCATTAAAGCATCCTAAATTGACAATACTTTGGTGGCAATGTTTTTGTTTAAAATAAATTTGGTTCAGTTGCAAAAAGACATACACAACCCCAACATTGTCGTTTTTGGAACAATATCTATACGAGAGAGAGAGAGAGAGAGAGAGAGAGAGAGAGAGAGAGAGAGAGAGAGAGAGAGAGAGAGAGAGAGAGAGAGAGAGAGAGAGAGAGAGAGAGAGAGAGAGAGAGAGAGATGGATGATGATGATGATGATGATGATGATGATGATGATGATGATGATGATGATGATGATTAAATAGCGAGAAAAGAAGCAAAATTACTGTATTTATCGAGCTAAACTTTCCAAGATTTATTTAATTTACATAGCAAATATATGCTTCTAACACTGCTATTCTTATGGGGAAAAAAGTTTGTATTCTCGCATATGGTGACATGTTGTATCGAAGGGACATTTTCTGTGTTGGGTTTTGATTAACACATGTGGCGATAGGTGGTATTACATAATTTTCTGTCTTTTTTATATTCACAGACGGCAATAGGTGATGTTAAAGGGAGATTTTATATGCTGCTTGATATTCACACATGGTGTTAGATGGAAAGGAATTGTCTGGTAAAATAGTCAGATCTATTCTAACCCCCAAACATCCAAAAGGAACAAACAACTCACATATACGTAACAAAGCACTTAAAGCATACATCGTAATGTGAATGATTTTTAACGTAGCTTTAACAAAATTTCTGACATGTCGTTACGATGTATGCAATGTGGCAGATTATAGTCATGTCTAGCACTCAGGCATCATACCACAGACATATAGCATGTCCCATTCAGTCACATTATCCTGACATCAGGCCGACCAGTCCTAACACTAACCTCTTAATGCTGAGCGTCAAGCGAGGCAGCTGTTAGTACCAGTTTTCTAAGTCTTTAAGTATTACTCAACCGGGGATCGAACCCACGAACTCCCGCATTTGAGGCGGACCCCCTAACCACTAGGTTACCGGAGCGGTGTTATATATATATATATATATATATATATATATATATATATATATATATATATATATATATATATATATATATATATATATATATATATATATATATATATATATATATATATATATATATATATATAAATACAAAGATACTTACTTATTAAACTAATTTATAGCCTGGAGGCAGAGCAGTAAGGGGTGCTCTCAATATCAACATAAATTAGCCGTCCCAGCTGGGTAAACATTTATCATTTTGTCTGCCTTAAGATGCTTGTTATTCATTCCAGCGAACTGATGTAGCGTAGAGAAGGAATAATTATAACCAATAATGGAAAGCAATTTTCTGAAACTATCCTCGGAAAATTTAAGTTGTTGTTTTTTTGATAGGTGTTACATGACATAACAAGACATTCAGACAACTCGATGATTACTCCTTTGCCTTACATCCTGTACGTATTATTATTATTATTATTATTATTATTATTATTATTATTATTATTATTATTATTATTATTATTATTATTATTATTATTATTATTATTATTATTATTGGTAGTAGTAGTAGTAGTAGTAGTAGTAGTAGTAGTAGTAATAGTAGTAGCAGTATTATTATTATTATTATTATTATTATTATTATTATTATTATTATTATTATTATTATTATTATTATTATTAGTAGTAGTAGTAGTAGTAGTAGTAGTAGTAGTAGTAGTAGCTGTAGAGCATACATCAGTAGGGTAAAAATGCTGGTAGTGGCTGTTTTTAGGTTTTGAATTAGACAATGCGGTAAGGCCAAAGTCATGTCGTTACCAATGTCTTGACACTGTAAACATTTAAAATTTCAAAAATTCCATTCTTTTCGTCAGTTTTGAAGAATTATTTGATTTTGCAAATAGGCAAAATATTCACATGTACTTGAAAATAAATATTCGTAGATCAAATTCAGTTGAAAAACTACAGTAATATCTTTATCAATGGAACAAATTCAATAGGAAAGCAGCCATTTTACAAACGTGTGCATATGTATAGTTTTCCAGAATAATTGCAAACAGTTGTACAAAAGAAGTCAAAATTGCAAACTATTTTAAAGGAGACATTCTTCTTCAGTGAAAATTTTATATCATATATTTCCACCACAAATTCAATTGTTTAAAAGGCTTTGAAAAACAAATGTGTACATATGAGGTTAAACGTTATCATTGGCAGATCATTGGCCAGTCTGCTATTTTATACAGATTGCTTGAAAGAATTGTACCAACAATGTGACTTCGTGGTATGTTACGTCTTGATAGAGGAGCATGCACAGTATATCTAGCATGGGATACAACCGTTAAATCATTCATCAAGATAACCCGTCCCTGGCAATGAAAATAGGGAGTCAAACCAGTATTTAAAGTAACCACATGTAATCGGCATAAAACAGGTGCTGATTAGGACAGGTGTGTAGCTATAACTTTAGTTATCGTCCTTAACCACGTGCCATTGCTTTCGGTTATCATTTTTTTGGCTTGTAGCGACGGTGGATGTGATGCGTTTGCGCTTGAGATAAATAGATGACTATTCACGTGAATGAATGTTCGGTATCTAATTACCTTTATAAATCGATTTCCTTTGAATAATAAAACAGCTTGACCAAGTATTTAACGTTACTTATCATTTGGCGTTTAGTTAAGACAATAATCATTCTTTGATTTTAGATGTTTTAATGATAAATCAAAGTCGCTAACATCTCTCTTCGGAGGTTTTTAAAGCATGCTTTCGCGTTTAATGTAAAGAATAGTATGGTGCGCTCGGATATTTACCTCTGTTTGAAAGGATGATAAGACCAGTGCACAAAATATCTTCTTTACTCAAGAATTCTTTTCTTGAAAGAAAAACCAATACACTTTCTTTAGAATCATCTAAGTAAATGCTTAGCTGAAGGCTGTCGTTTCGAATTTTTTTGTCTTCTAACATGAGCAGTTGGGGTTTTATTGAGTGTTTTTTTTTTTTTTGTTGCATTACTATAGAGAGGCATGTTTGCGTGAATTATTAGTTATTTTCTAAAAACGTGTTGATCGTTGATCTGCAAAACTTGCATTTTGCCTGTTTGTGCATTGAGAAAATGCATGGTACAGCAGTGCCTTCTTGGGCACACTGGGCAGTTGACCTTGGCCTCACCTTTCTAGTGGTATCATGCTGCTTATATTAATGAATAGTTGGGCTGGTTTGGAACTCCAGTGCATTGCTTTGCCCAGAGCCTACACATTTGTTAAGACGGAACTGTGATACAGGAGCCGAGAGCGCAGAGTCAAACGGTTGACCAGAATTGTGCAATAATGGTTTAACTGGGATAAAGGGCAAACGAATATTCTTAATATAAATATGGTGCACTCTCATTAGAGACACAGTGTCTTTTGATACGTATATTTGTGTGTTGCTGTCTAAATGGTTTCATTGTCCAATATGCTTTTACTCTTTCAACCCATCAAATAATTTAATTTACCCACAATTCATTTCATCCATCCATTATATATATATATATATATATATTTTTTTTTTTAAAGGACCAAATATTTTAGGTCGATCTTTGTATGTTAGAGTTAATTTTGGTAGAACACACATAGTCGTATACATGTACCACTAACGAGATATATGGGGAAATGGAAAAATTGTACACGCTATAAAGTACAGATTAATTCGGGCAAACCCAGAAATTATTAGTTTCGAATTAAGGGCTTAGTTTGTTTAAACTTACAGAGTGGGGCTCAAGTTCAGTTCTGCATGGAATTGATAGTAGGGGAAACCCAACCTTAGCAATTTGTTAAAAGCAGTATAACTGTGACAGAATGGCGGGAATTATTGTAAATCTGATTGGTCACGCTGTAAAAGGGGGCGTGGTTTAAAACGAAACCCCTAAGTTTAAATGTACTAGATAGTTTTTAAAATTCAGCCCGCATTTCTCTGCGAGAGAGAATGAATAAATACCGATAGACTCTGGGGATTTTAATGAGTAAAGTTCTCGTCAATCAAAATTCTATCCAAGGAGAGACGTCTGTCTGAAGAATTCGACAGACACCGAAAGCTTGGAAAGCGAGATGAAATAGTCTGGAAAAGACGTTACAACCCAAACAGTGTGGGAAGGAAAAAGGGCAGTTTAGGACCAAACGACATATACCTAGAAGTTTTGGAACGAGAGAAAAGTGGAATGGAAGACATACTGTTACAAATGAACAGAAAGTACAATCTCAGAGAGCCTGTTGGAACGGAATCAGTCACCAGGTTATGCATTGATGCAAGGCATAATTGTTTGATATACTCGGACTCGTAAATTATGATTTTGATTTTATCTTAACATAATTGGCTAATCTTATATTGTCATTGTGTTTTTCAAATTCCTTAATTAGTTAATTCGTAAATAAATAAGTATCTTTCGAACTGTAACTTTCATATAGATTTCTTATGGAAATTTTCATTGTTTAAATTTGATTAAATTTTGTCTTTAATTGTAACGTGACCTCGACTTTTTTTTATATATATTAACTCAGATTACATCTTTATTCTATCCATAAATTCCTACTTTGTAGTAGCTTAATTCGATACCCGGTAAATTTCATCATTGGAGGTCACTTCTAGACACGAAGCCAAAACTCAAAACTAGTAAACCCGCCAAAAAAATGCTGCAAAGTGGTTTACCACATATATATATATATATATATATATATATATATATATATATATATATATATATATATATATATATATATATATATATATATATATATATATATATATATACCAATTTAAATTCATCAGTTTAATATTGATCATTATGGCAGTCAGAATATGGTTAAGTTTCTCTATTGTCTTGATTACTAATACTATTACTAGTACTAGTACTATTATTCCATGCATCTTCATTTTTTGTTACATTGGAAAGAGTTTATTTTGTAGCTTTTTGGGAAGTCAACAAACTTTATTTTTTATTATTAAAGAACTGGTATTTCCTTTAGCATGTGGACACGGAGTGGAAAAAGACCAATATATATATATATATATATATATATATATATATATATATATATATATATATATATATATATATATATATATATATATATATATATATATATATTGATGTATGAGATCAATAATTTTAATAATACGTACTCCATTGCCCTAACAAGTGCTTCTTTAAAATAAAAGATTTTTTTTTTCATTTTGATGTCCAGGACGCTTCTTACGATATAAAAAGTTTCTTAGCACTTGTGATCAAAACTTATTGCTAGCATTGATGCAGTTGATTCGTGTCATATGAAAAATGAGCTATTATATACAACCCTGTTCTATTCTATTGTCGACAAATGAGCTATTATATACAGCCCTGTTCTATTCGATTGTCGACAAATGAGCTATTATATACAACCCTGTTTTTTCTATTGTCGACAAATGAGCTATTATATACAACCCTGTTCCATTCTATTGTCGTGAAATGAACTATTATATACAACCCTGTTCTATTCTCTTGTCGACAAATGAGCTTTATATACCATCCTGTTCTATTGTTGTTTCTCCATTGATTTAGTTTACAGATAGCTGCCATTTCTTCTGTCGGTCTTGAACATCGAGATGGCGAACTATCTAAATACACCTGGAATTTATCCGAATTTCGATAAAATTATTTAATCCAGCAGCGATTTTTTGTGGGTGCATTGTTTCGTACATACAGTAAAACCAAACTCAGATTAAAGATCTCATGGATCTGCCAGCTCTGCTAATGTTTCTCTATATATTAACGTTATCTCTACAATCCCTCAAATCATTAAAACAAGCAGAGACCCGAATAGCTATGCTAATTCCTCTAGTACGCAATACAATGCAAATAAAACCTTATGAATCATGCGCAATTTTTCAGTTAATTTGCACCTGAAGGCTGTACCGAAAATAGTTTTCGATGGCATCAATTATTCGTGTCATATATAATAAGTACCCATCCAAATCTCTTCAGCTTAAGAAACTTCATTCAATGTC